TGTGTGTGTGTGTGTGTGTATGTGTATGAGAGAGTGTGTGTGTGTATGAGAGTGTGTGTGTGTGTCTGTATGTGAGTGAGTGTGTGTGTGAGTGTCTGTGAGATGATGCGGTGTGTTCTGTGTCTCTGAACGTGTCTGTAGTTGGTGTGGATGGATTCAGCTCAGAGTCTGACCCCATTGTTGTGCCTTCAGTGCTGGATTTCGTGTCTCAGGATGAGATGTTGACTCCTCTGGGCCGACTGGACAAGTACATCAGCAGCGAGAACGTCTTCAACAGGTGAACGCCGCTCTATGAAACATAGAACCCTATTCATTTAGGATGCTGTATCCCACAATGCCGTGCACCTGACCTTCTGTTTCATTGTGTTCGGTGTGTTTCAGGCAGATGGTGGCCCGCAGTCTTCTGGACACGCTCCGAGCCGTCAGCGAGGATGAACGCGAGTGTGTGTCTGTGCTGGAGCGGATCGACAGACTCGCAGACGACTCGGGTACTGAACTGATTCACTGATTCACTGTCCTGTCAGAGAGTCGTGTCATGAAGACTCTGTGTTTGAGATCTGACTCCTGTGAGCTCTAGACCGATAAACACACACACACACACACACTCACAGACACACATACTCACACTCACACACACACATACTCACACTCACACACACACACACACACTCACACACACTCACACACACTCACACTCACTGAACCAATGATTCAAAGACTCATTCATAAAGAGCCGTTTACTTCATTACTGAATGAATCAGCCGTTTGAACGAATCGAGTGAACCAATGATTCAAAGACTCATTCATAAAGAGCCGTTTACTTCATTACTGAATGAATCAGCCGTTTGAACGAATCGTGTGAATCAATGATTCAAAAGCCCATTCATAAAGAGCCGTTTACTTCATTACTGAATGAATCAGCCATTTGAACGAATCGCGTGAATCAGTGATTCAAAGACTCATTCATAAAGAGCCGTTTACTTCATTACTGAATGAATCAGCCGTTTGAATGAATCAACTGAAGACATTTACCGCCACCTTCTGGCAGATTTAGTTTCTTATTTAGAGTATCTTTTAATTAATTAAATTAATAATAGTAATAACAATAATAATAATAAAAACATTAAAGGGAACGTTTTCCATAGTTTATGTTAGGCCGTTGTAGCCTAAATGTTTGTGTAGTAATAATTTTTGTTGAATCAAATAAAATTTCTAAAGCTACAATTTGTAATGTCTACTTGATACTTTCTCATTTAACAAAAATATCTTTAAATAAACTTTTGTGGGTATTTTCACAGTCATATTTATTTTGCGATTAATTAGATTAATCGAAACATCATGTAATTAGATTAAAAATTTTAATTGACTGACAGCCCTAATATATATATTCTCACACTACCAGTCAAAAGTGTTTGAACAGTACGTTTTTTAATGTTTTTTAAAGAAGTCTCTTCTGCTCAGCAAGCCTGCATTTATTTGATCAGAAATACAGAAAAAAACAGTAAAATAGTAAAATATTATTATAATCTAAAACAGCTGTTTTCTATGTGAATATCTGTTAAACTGTAATGTATTTTTGTGATGCGCAGCTGTATTTTCAGCATCATTACTCCAGTCTTCAGTGTCACATGATCTTCAGAAATCATTCTAATATGCTGATTTGCTGCTCAAGAAACATTTCTGATTATTATCAATGTTGAAAACAGCTGAGTAGAATTTTTCAGGTTTCTTTGATGAACAGAAAGTTCAGAAGAACAGCATTTATCTGAAATAGAAATCTTTCGTAACATTATAAATGTCTTGACTGACACTTTTAATCAATTCAAAGCATCCTTGGTAAATAAATAATTGCTAAAAAAATAATAAATAATTTCTATGTCAGATAAATGCTGATCTTTGGATTTCTATTCATCAAAGAATCCTGAAAAAAAGTACTCTGCTGCATAATTTCAATATAATAATAATCAGAAATGTTTCTTGAGCAGCAAATCA